AAACCCACAAACTTTAATTTCTGAATTAATGATATACATAGCACATATATATCGATCGGGTAACTTTCTTTATTATTTCTTAGTTGGATTGTTCATTCTTCATTTTTTCTTCTGGTAATCAATTACTACAGGTTTTGGCCTCCATCAAACAATTGGCATAGGATATCCGTGTTTTCTGCAAATTGTTCTAGTGTAGAAGTTATAGTTGTTTTTTTTTTTTTTTTTGCCAACGTAGAAGTTGTAGTTCTTAATCCTTTGTCTTTTGTTTCTTTTTTAATTTTTTTCTTGCTGCTGTTCTTCTGTTAATTAAGTACATTACATTTTCTTATTAATATCATTTGACTTTTTATTAAAAAAAATAATTATGCAACATAGATGTTATCATGCATCGATCTAATGATCTTATCTTATTCAATATCGTACAGCATATACGTGTGTGTGTGTGTCGTGGAAATAGAATGAAAAATCATGAAATTAAATTTTCATTGATGGACATGGTTGGATGACTTGGATCCTTGTTTCATCCCTATCTTCTACTCTTTATTTTGTCGGAGATGTTTTCTTGGGTCAGACTTCTCTCTTGATCTTTTAACCTTGTCTTTTCCAAATGCATGTAAATAAGCAAGTTTTGTGCGTATTTAATTTGAAAGGGATATAACACCATTTGATTAGGATATAATTTGAATCAATGCTTCTTTTGTAATATGAAAAAAAAAAAATCATATGATTACATAGATTGAAAATACAAAGTGGCTAGTTAGGCCAAAAGTAGTATTTCATGATTCTAAATTGTTTGAAAACTAATTTATATATATTTTTAATGGAAATGATATTTTTGATATATATTTTAACACATAAAATTTAATTATTAATTTTTTAAAAATTATATTTATTTTAAATATACATTATTTAATTACAAAATAATATATAGTGGTACTTTTGATATATATATATATATATATATATATCTCTACACACACATATATGTTAAAAAGTTCTATTGTAATAGTGGTTGAATTAGATCATCGTCCACACTTTGATCCAACTCTATGAGTATGGTCACTTGAGCTTAGGAATAATAAAAATTTATGTTTGATGTCGAGTTTGAGTTCATGTGAACATAGTAAATGTTTTTGAGAGAGCTATTTTCAATCAGGTATGATAATACTTGAATCTGATCCAATCAAATAATCATATGGAAAAAAAAAATCTAACGAGATGGAAGCTGAGAAAATGGAATCAAAAGGAGGGAAGAAAATGGTGCAGCAGATGCTATAAATATGATCCCTTAATTAAGTCTGCTCGTTCACACAGTAAGAATGGTAATAAAGACATGTAAGTTTATGTGTGTGGATCAGTAGATCGAATGTTAAAAAAAGCCACTAAGACACATGCAACAGATTTAAACCAGACAAGGATGGTTACCAAGTACTATGAAAACCCTCATCGTGGGTACGAGATGGTCGGCCATAATCACAAGTTATAGGGATAGTGCCAACATTAGGTGCCTCTTTTAAGGTTGTAATCCTACCTAGCTAGAGTCCTCCATCACTACTCGATGTCTCTCTCTCTCTCTCTCTCTCAAATTTCTTCCTCTCTCTCATATCAGTTTCAGATTATAATAATTTCATCATCATCAATGAAATTATTATCTGCATAATTTCTTTGTGCTTCTGTGGTCCTTCCATTAATTCTTGATTATGAGACTATCTCCAATACCAGTCCTTTTTATGTGGGGCACTAATAATAATGAAGGCGGTAGAAAAATTCTAGACATATAGCTTACGCTCTTGAGTTTTCTTCTCTTACAGCTTTGGGTAAAAGCAAACAAGTCTTTAATTTCTTGTTCCAGTTATATATATAGATGGCAAGTGATCGATTATAATATACATACATACATATATCTTTTGTAAATATGTTTTTTGTTTCTGCCACATTAACTTGAGTTTTCTTCTTTATTTTTGTAATCTGCAAAAGAATGATAATCTGTTGAGTGAAACAACAGTAAAATTGAAACAATTCAACACGTAAAGGCAACCACAAGGCCAAAGAGTCACGTCCCTAAATAATTTTGCTTTCCATGAAGATTATATTTAACGAAGCTGTATCTCACTAACATATGATGATGAGGACCGAGTGGTTTCCACTTTGGTCAGTTAGCAGCCTGTCATTATCATTTTTTTCCTTCGTGGCAACTGATTTCTGGTAGTTACATTGAACTTCGACTAATTTAGATCGAGTCAAGCCAAGCCAAGCCGATAAATAAAGTTCTTCCAGCAACAATTTTCTCTATGCACATTAAACTCAAATTTGAGCCTTAAGTTACAAGAAACAAGAAGCATCGAAGAACCATTACTTGAATTTACGTACAGATCATTATTAACATCCGTCATTGTCACTTTGTTGGCAATAAGAACCGTGTTTCATGATGCAGAGTGTTGAAAAAAAAATCTAGGCTAGGCTATACGATTGGCTTTTTGATTCCTATATTGCTTTGAGCCTACCGATATTTGGGTAAATCTTCTGGTAGTGAGAATGAGTGCCGTTAATCTCACTTTTGTTCCATTATTATTATACTCTAGTTGAGCGTTGGCTTTTCTGTTATAGAGGATTCTAAATTTGAATCCCATTGGGATTGGGTGTATTTTAAGTTAAAGGAGGAGAATAGTACTGAGCTATTTCAGTCACTGAGGGCTTCAATTTTTTTGCCCTAAGTTATACATTTGGTCTTCTGCATATATATTAAGTTTTAGCTTATTTAATTTTAAGTTTATAAAATATATTTTTAGTTCTTTAATATTAACATTTTTAGTCTCATTTAACAGAAAATATTTATTAAGAAAATTTAAAAGGTAGCTCTATATATAATCGTTTTTATATTTTAAATTTAAACATATTTTGTCATCATTATTTTATTACAAATTCATTATTTGAATTTATTGGCTGCATATATTTCGTCAAATGAGACTAAGGTATTAAGTAAGGGAAAAGTACATTTCATAAACCTCAAAAACTAAAATAAAATTTGATATAAATTTAGATGATGAAATGTATACTTTAGCTAGTTTTTTTATCTGAAAAATAATATAATTTTTTAATTGTAATAAAATATATTATCCTTTTCAATTTCCATCCTTGTTTTAATATTGATCTGCACGATATTTATCCTCTAAAGTAGATAAACCTCCCCCCCAACCAAAAAAAAAAAAAAAGAACCCCGGCTCCCTTAGGCTAAAAAGCTAGATAAACATGTTGATGTGAATCAGTATGTTATTTTCACTGATGAAATGTAGCATGATTAAAAAAAATCAGCATATATGATTTAATATGAAAAGGGCTTATGTACATATATAAATCAAAGTTAAAAGAATTACACAAAACAAATTTCAAGAGGGTATATTATATGAACTTAAAATACTTTATTAGTCAAATAATAAATTGATTAGGGATATGTAGGATAATTATTTAGAAGACTTAAAACATCTACGTTTGTGATGTAACAAGAGACAGAGAGACAAGAAAATTGAGTGCTACTTCCTAGTCTAAATACTACCCCTCATCCTATTTATAAGAGCTAGTTGACTAATTTGAGAAAATTGAGAAAAGAAGTTAAATTAGTTATTTCTAATAAATAGGTGTTGTCTTTCTTAAAATATCCTTACTAATTAAGTGTATTGACTAGAACTATTATTGTTAGAAGAACTATCTTGGAAAAAAATACATAAATATGAGAGACAAAATGGATTGGGGTCTTATATTCAGGATCAAAATAAAAATCAAATAAGGTCTTATATTAAGGATCGGAGGTAGTATAAGATTTAGTTTGTAATAATAAGAGGGAGTACGATGAAAAAATATAGACCACGTTAACTTTTTCTATGTCTCTCTATAGATTTGTAAATATCAAAGAATAATTTATACTCAAGTCTAGGTGGCAGGACGAGCTAGGAGAAAAAGCCCAAAAAAAGTTCAAGAGTTTGAAGGCCCCCTCTTATGGTTGAACTGAATCTACAGAGTTTAAGCTTGAGAAAATATTTCTAATTTCTATAAAATTCTTACTGTAAGAGAAAGTTCAAAGTTATATTCAAAGAGTGTTTGATAACCTTTTTCGCAAAATGAAGTAAATTCTTTCACATATCTACTCCATAAATCATAAGAGCACTTTTAAAATTATGATTTGGTTTTTATTGAATTTGGATTCCACCTATCATGATTTCAGTTGAATCTTCGACCCAATTTCTCTTCTCCATTTTCTTTATTTCTTTTTGGTGAGTAAAATTTCTATTAGGGGATCGGGGCTTCTGGCATTGCTCTGCCGTAACACAGTATTCCGTAAAGACTGATCGGCCCATAAGTTTCCTCTGATATGTAATTACGGGCCTCATAGTTCAATTGGGCTGTCGTATTGTCCATTGCATATAATTTGAAATTATTGAGAGAGAAAAAATTGAAACAAATTCACATAAATTTTTTTTTAAATTAATAATTTAACTCAAAATCAATCAATATGTATAGCCTGTAGAAAACTTCACTATCAGATTCAGAAACGCAACTCACTTTAGTTCTATGCAAAGCAGGAGCTTTACGTCTAGTTTTTCAAAGAATTTATTTATTCATCATTTTAAAATTTTTTCTTTGTGAAAATAGTTCTTGCATTGGATGAAACTCATCAACGCTTAAGAAATTACTATTATAACATAAACAAGGATAGCATATTCTTCAAATCTATGTTATTGATTCCTACTTGGTAAGCAATCTATGAATGCTCATACAGTTTGGAGGCATGACCTGATTTTCATTAGGACCCCACACCAGTTAAACCTTTTGTTATTAAAAAATAATAATCTTTAAACTCATAACCTGTAGCTGCCAATGAAGCATTTTCCCGGAGGAAATAAAATTGCTCAGGTGAATTTAATGCCATTCTCCCCATAAGAAACTTTGAGGTGACATCTGGACTGGAAAAAGGAACAAAGAAAAGGATTTTCTTAAGAACTAAATTAAAAGAAATTGAAGAATCCAATTACATGAAATGTCAGAGGATGATTCTACGCTGTAACATGTTGCGTGCGTCCAATTGGTTACATAGCAGTCTAGCGCACCCTCTTATGAGTTTAACTAAGCAAAAAGGAAACTTGATCATATAATAATCGAATCCTTGTTCTATTCTCCATTCATTTCCAAGTTTCATTAGCATTTATTTAAATAAGGAATGCCATCTGAATTCTGAACTCACGTCAACATCAAATCAGCATTCAAGAAAAGAATACAGAAATATACATTCAAAGTTGGGAAAGTAAAAGTTGAGTGGTTGGTTTATGACTTGACAGTGCACTCGAGAGGAAGGCCCTGAGGGAATCGCTTTGTGTCAGTACAATAATTATAGATCATCAACTTCTTCTTCGCCCACCTGAGCCTTCTCTGATCATTAGCATCAAGCTGCTGAGTTAGCCAGGCATTACCAGAAGAGTTAGAACTGCAGGAAGAAACGCCATTAGACCACACACAAGCATCCGCCTTGAAGTTTCTGTAAGAAGCAGTGAAAGGAGCTTTGGACCAATCTGTCTTCACCAGTCCTCCTCTTGTAGCCCAGTCATCTGCATTCCACAGACTCGAATACAATCTCATAGCCTGGTTCTTAGGATATGGCACACCCACACCTTCCATGTTCTTGAACTCCCTTATTGGCCTCCCATCAACATAGAATCTGAAATATCCAAAAAAGAAAACAAAAGATCATTCAAGTGATCGGTTTTAATAGTATAAGAATGATTATCAATAGAGAAATGTGTATGTATACTTACACGACATGTTGAGGATTCCAAAGAATGGAGTATGTGTGAAAATTTGCAGTTGGGTCGAACCAGAGATAGAACTGTTGCTCTCTGTCACCTTTGCCCTGAGTATACACGTTCGTATGAACTATATAAGGATCTCCACTTAAGTTCCCCAAGAACTCAAAGTCTATTTCATCCCAAGATGATCCTTCAGAACGTAACTGCACAGAAAAACCACGTGTCAGAGTTAGAATATAGGACTCCATGGACATGTAACTTTACTGCATAATATTAACAGAGGTTTGATGAACTCACGTAATAAGCTGTGACTGTGCCAGCTGAATTCCCAGGCACGAGCTTGATTTGCATGTCGATTTTGCCATAGAGGAACTGTTTTTTGGACTGAAACCCAGAGCCAGAGGCCTTATCGAGAGACAGAGTAAGAACTTGGCCATTGTTAAGGATCTTACCTCGGCCGTCTCCCCATGTTATGTCAACATCCTGATAAAAGCTCCCGGCAGAGACAACCTTAGCAGAACCAGACAGCAGCAGAGAATAAACCAGCAAAATCCCAAGCAATAACGAAAGAGGAGGAGGAGAAGCCATTGGATCAAACGAGAAGACTTGCAGAAGCTATTAACTATGATGGTGACAAATGCACGTTTCAGAGGTTCAATTTATAGTGCAGGATCCCTTGGCGGTTGTTACATTGGGAATGTGTCTGAATAATAAGAATAATGAAAAAGTGGGTTGGTGGCGGTGAGATCGGAACCGAACAGCTGGATAGCAGAAGCCAATAAACAAACAAAAGATTGGCTTGTGTTGTTTGAAATCATAATTAAACCAGAAAATAATATGGTCCATTACTTTGTGCTTAGCAATTCCTAAGGCTAAAGGAGGCAAAACATTAGAAATGTGAAGGTGGAGTGGGGAAACCGTAGTGGACTCCTAGGTTTGTTTTTGTGGCATAAGCGTGTGGAGCCAGTGGTCTGTGGCTCATCATTATCAAGTTAGTGCTCCAGCTGGGAACATTAAAAAACATTGAACTTGTCTCTATCTGGTACGTTCCTGTGGGCATTCTATATTAGTCCGCGTTTTCTTACTTTCTGAATTCTAGAAACATCTCCATATTATACCATCCCGTTTTATGGAGTATGTGAAATGTGATACTACATCATTCAGGATCGAAACTTCTGGGTCCATGTGTTTGTTCAAGAAGCACCAACCCCACAAAAAGGAACATAAACGTTTTCTTTGATTAATTGCAGTTCCTGAAAAAACCCAAAACAGAGACACAGAGGGACGCGCCAATAATTCTTTGAGTTTTCATTGAGTTATTTTGTTCCAGAGAATTATCGTGGGTTCTTATCACTTCTAAGTTGGTGAATTCAAATTTGACTGGTTCGGTTCAACTCTGACACCTTGTTTCTGGTCTTTTAGAGGCGGCGAACATAGAAAATAAATTAAAAAAGATAGATATAAAGATTGATTGGTTATTACTCCATGGTATAGTAAATTGGGAAGCGGTGACATTCTGTTCAGACTTCAGAGACTTCAGAGCCATATCTGTCAGGGACCCGAAAAATTGGTAGTAATCTTTAATGCTTCCATTTTGTTTTGTTTTACTTTCGAACGCAAGGAGCTCGAAAACCGCAAAACAGAACAAGAAACACCAAAGTATTAAAAGACGATAAGCAAGAGATGAAGACAAAAGCAAAATTAGGAAGAGAGAGAAAGCAAAGTTTCTTTATGGTAGTGGATAAGGATGACTTAAACGCTTCTCCCTTGTAAGGTTTTCTCTCACACAGAAATTTACCGGAATATGGCATGCCTTCACTTGCTCCCTTTGGCGGGTTTGCCCAATTGTTCAATTGCTGAACCCATGGACAGGGGTAAACAAAACTGAACCGTAATCGAATCAAATTCAATTTTAATTTTTTTGAATAATTCGGTTTTGGTGTTCGATTCAGTTAGTAGAAAAAAATTTCGGTTATAACCGAAAAACCGGAATAAATATATTATATATTTATATTTAATAAATATTATTATAATAAATATATATGTGGGTTTATGTGAACTTTTTAAATATATTTATATTCAATAAATATGATTATAATAAATATTATTATAAGAAATCACATTGAACGATGAAATATTTATTAATTAATAGTTATAATTGTGTTTTATTATTATTTTTAAATTAAAATTACTTTTTATATTTATATATTTCGGTTAATCGGTTAATCGAACCAAAATATTTCAGTTCATTCAGTTTCGATTAGTTCGGTTAATCGGTTTCGGTTTAGTGTTTAAAATTTGTTCTATTCGATTATTCGGTTAATTTGGTTATCTCTAATAACCGAACCGAAAAACCAAATGCTCACCCCTATCCACGGACCAGGAATCCTCCCTCATGATATTTTAGTGTTGACCGTGGTTATTTGAAAGAGGTCCGATGGACGGAATTATGGGCTTCAATCCATCAATATTGGGCCTGACCTTATCCAAACCTTCTCGGCTGAGCCCAAGTTACATGCGAATCCTGCGATGACTTGCGCATACTAATGTCCCATATCAAGATATTGGAGTAGGAGAAGACTAAGGGTGTGTTTGGGTGACACCCCAAACTATGGTTTGGGGAATAAATCACCCAAACACCCACCCAAAAATCAAAGCCATGGTTTTCGGCCAAAACCATGGTTTTGGAAAAAGCAAAATTTTTTTGCTTTTGGAGAAAAAAGGGAGAGTGTGAGAGCCTATAGGATATGTATCTTGTTATTTTTTTTATAAACATATTTAATCTTATATTTTATAAATATATATACATATTAATTATTTATTAATTATATTATCTTATGTATTATTAATTATATTGGTAAAAAATATATTATTAACAATTTTATTCCTTCAAATTAAAATATATCATAAAATCTATTTTTTCTGTAATTATCATATTAACTTATGTTTTTTTTAGTAATTTGTATATATAAAAAGTGCTTCTGATAACAACTATCCAAACACTCTCACTTCTCAGAATCATTTTTTTACAAAATATATTCTTTACAGAATCTATTCTCTCCAAAATTTTTCAGAATCACTTTTTTAAATCACGGTTTGGTTTCATCTAAACACACCCTAAATGAATACCTCTTCTCATGCTTTCATACATTTGGTGCGGAACTTTCCTTAATCATGATATAAGAACCAAAGAGGATAAATTAGCAAAAAGAATATTGAAAGATCTTCTAAACAGCGTTGAGCGGCACAGTGTTTGTGGCTTAGTGGAAACAGCTGTCATTAGTGGAGGAGCTTTTTTTAGTTCTTTTTGTTTCTTGCGTAAGCTGAATGCTATATTAACAGCAAAGCCATGCAAAGGAAATCAGAAAAAGGGCAAAAAAAAACAAGAAAGTTTTCATTAGAGAGGTGAAAAACAGCTGGCATAAATCGAGAAGCTTTCAATGTGTCCATATGTTAGTACTTAGTGGTGAAAAAGCAATCATTGTAAGTTAATATCTTCTTAATAGTAAGGTATTTCATTCAAGAGGCAGAGGTTAATCAGGGACATTGAAATTTTCCTCCATAGCATGGGAAGACTCGGCAAGATAACTAGTCAAAACAAGATCCTCCCTATAAGTATGGACCAAAACAACCTGCCAATTTCCATAAACATAAGTTAATATTTTAAATATATAGATTATATTTTGTTTGATTTTAATCCCCATAATTAAAAATAAATAAATGACATATTCTTCCTTATTCTTAATAAAAGACACATTGTGGAAGTTTTGCTTCATTCTTTATATCCTAAGTGTAAGTCTTAATTTTCACTTTCTTTTTGTTCTTAAATATAAGTTTTAACACCAACTTTTAGGTATAATTAAAATTTGTCTTCCAAAATACCCCTTATTAATACTTATTTATGGGCTATCCAGGTTTTAAATATTGTCATATTAATAGAGAATAACAATAAAAAAACGCATTTTAACATAATATATAGATTTTGATCCTTAATTTGTGTATTTTTCAATACCATGACTTTATTTAAGGATGTAGGAAGTGCAAGACATTCTATAAAATTTAGTATGGTATCTATGAATTATTTCGAAAAATGCCCACATACTTACTTAATTGGTTCATTTAAGTGGTATACTTGACTGTAGATTTTGAAGATAGAGGTTAATACTACTTTTAATCTTAATTATAAGATTTTATTTATAAACTATAAATGAAATCTTATAATTACGGTTGAAAATAATAATTTGAATTAAGAAAAAATTGATAAAATTGTCCAATAGGATTGGAGGGAGGGAGCAGGTAAGAATTAATGTTATCCACTTGCAAGTCGGCTCGATCCATATCTTGCAAAATAAGCCAGTTGAGAGCACAACAAACACGTGGCACACTGCCACTTGATCCTTGAAAAGCAATCTTCAACTTTATCCTCCGTGAATAGGTAATTTAAAGGACAATTTAATTAAATATAATAATTATGCATCGTCCATTGAATCCAGCGCTGTTAGTGACTTTGACGTTGAAGCGATCACAAATCCTTGAGAGCTGCCATTGACTGTGTCTCCCCTCCACAGAAACTCCATTGTTTGCTTGCTTGCTTTAGGTGGGAGATGAAACACGACATCCTTATTTTATATTAAAAAATATATATTCAAGTTGATTATTTTCCAACCTGGCAGGACTCGTCCACTAAAATCTTTCTTGTCGTACGTTGTCCCTACTTTCCCATTGATCATCCTCCCTCGTTCTTACCTTGACATAATGAACCCTAAACCACTCCCATTTATTTTCCCAAAACCGTGTGCCTCCTCTTACCCATTCTTCAACCGCCACTCCCTCTTGGCTCCCTTCGGGCTGTAAATGAAAGCACCGTGAGTATGAGCCTAAAATACAACTCAATTCTGAAAGATTGACTTATTAGAAAGGAAGGCTCGTGAACTTAAAAACCCCCCTGATAAAGTACTCATAACACCTGTCCCTTAATTCAAAGAAAATAATATGACATGTTTTGTTTAAACTACTAAATTTTTCACTTACTACTCCTCCGGTCCTAATTATAAGACCCAATTGACTTATTTGAGGAGATTAAGGAAGTAAGTTAAGTTGGTTATTTATAATAAATAAGTGTTGTTATTCCTAAAATATTCTTGCTAATTAAGTATATTGGCTAAAACTATCATTATTAGAAGGATTATCTTGGAAAAAAAATGCATAAATATAAGAGAGAAAATGGATTGGGTCTTATAATTAGGACCAAATAAAAAGTCAAATTGGGTCTTATAATAAGGACCGGAGGAGTATATAACTAACGGTTAAACTTTCTTAATTATTCAGGGGGGTTTGAATACTCTTATAATTCGTATTTTCCACACAAGTTAAGGTAAAATTTCTCCCATATACTTACTTATTATATCATAAAATCACTTCTAAAAAGTTATTCTAAACACTCCTTTAATCAAACTCGTTTAACTAATGACTTTTATTGAGGATAACTTTGATATTTTATGACAAATAATTAATTTTAACTAACTTTATTAATTTATATAAAGTTATTATAGGGGTTTATAATACGAAGCAAATGGAGTATTTTCCTATGAGACATTAATTCCATTTAATATGATTTTAAAATTTTTAAATTTTGTTAATTGAACATTTTAGATGAGTAGCATGGGAAGCTTATCAAAACAAAACACTTACAAATTACCTATTATGTGCAAGTTGTAAATATGAGATGTTGGTGAGCATCAAATGGTTTTTATTTAAACCATGGTACCATGAGTTTAACAATTAAAAGGTTGGACACTCTCATTAAAGAAAGAAGGTTTAATTCCTAAGATATTTAAGGTATTTTGAGAGATATATCTGAAGCTAAAACTTTAGCTCGTAACATATGGTAATTCTTTACATGGAGCTTTTCCTGTCCCAATTTAAGTTATGGTGATAGGTAGGATTGGGATCAAGAGTTAATTTTTCTGTTTTTGAATTGTTGGTTCTTAAAAAAAATTTTATAAAAAAGAAAAAGAGGTTTTTACTTACTTTAACTATTGAATTTATTCAATACGACAAGGTTTCCTGTCGGCGTCCTGCGTTTCAACGTCTTTCTTCCCCAAATACAACTGTCCACAACTTAGCTGACACAAACTTTTTCTTCCATTCTCCTTCCTGCAAGTTGCTCTGCCATATCTCCCACCTATATAAATACCTACGATCACTCATTGCTTGATTCACACCAAACTCTTCACTTTCAGAAACCAGATGCTCTCTAGCTTCAATCTTCACACTATGGCTTCTTCTTCTTCTTCTTCTTCAATAATGCTTCTGCTTCCCCTGTTTCTTGCTCTGACTTTTCATGTTGCTGCTGCTAACTTCAACCGAGACTTCCAGCTTACGTGGGGAGATGGTCGTGCAAAGATACTCAACAATGGAAATCTTCTCACTCTGTCCCTTGACAAAGCCTCTGGCTCTGGCTTCCAGTCCAGCAATGAGTACCTGTTTGGCAAGATTGATATGCAGCTGAAGCTTGTTCCTGGTAACTCTGCTGGCACTGTCACTGCCTATTATGTAAGTCCAAACACTCCCTACACAAATTTCTTTACTCTCAAACATATTTCTTGTGACAAGCTTGCTGACAGATAAACTGTGTGTTCTTGTAACAGCTATCTTCTAAAGGATCAACGTGGGACGAGATTGACTATGAATTCCTTGGAAACCTAAGTGGAGACCCTTATATCCTTCACACCAACGTGTTTAGCCAGGGCAAGGGTAACAGAGAGCAACAATTCTATCTCTGGTTTGACCCAACAGCAGATTTTCACACTTACTCTATCCTCTGGAACCCCCGACACATTGTGTGAGTATTTATTAGCTATGTCCTATAATATATGGAACAACGTAGTATTTCAAATTTTGAGCGACATACTTTGTGTCTTGTTGTGTTTCAGTTTCTCTGTGGATGGTACACCAATCAGAGTGTTCAAGAATTTGGAATCATTTGGTGTTCCGTTTCCAAAGAAGCAGCCAATGAGGATATACTCTAGTCTCTGGAACGCAGATGACTGGGCAACAAGAGGAGGACTGGTAAAGACGGATTGGTCCAAAGCTCCTTTCACTGCCTCTTACAGAAACTTTAATGCTAAGAATGCTTGTGTGTTCTCCAATGGAAGATCTTCATGTTCCTCAAATGCATGGCTTTCTCAAGAGTTGGATTTAACCAGCCAGCAGAGGCTTCGTTGGGTGCAGAAGAACTATATGATTTACAATTACTGTACTGATCACAAGAGGTTCCCACAAGGCTTCCCACCCGAATGCACTCGCTCTTAGATAAAAATTTAATCCAAATTTTCTCTTTCTTTTTTCCTTTTTTTTTTTTTTTTTGGGTTTGAGGGTTTGAGCTAGTTATGATATGTACCATATGTCTTATTCTTTTATACTGCTTGTGTATTTTCTGCCTACTGTTTGTTCTTTATCCAGTGTAAAAATATAATAAGAGTTGAGTTTTTTCTTATGCTGTAAAAATTTAGCTGGGCATTAAATTAGTATTTTAAAAATTATGATACAATCAAGTAGGGGTCAACGTCTGGCTTTGGCGAAAGACGACGAACTCGGCGTAGAAGATAATGCAGAAATTGACAGTTCAAATTCAAAGACTCTTTGACGAGTAAAGGTCAATTTGGCTGCAGAAACGGATAAGGGCTCGAAGCTAGAAAGTTTGAAAGATTATTTGTCACGTGTTGATATGAAAAAGTCAGAACTAAGATAGGTGGTATAAACACTTCTCAAAAAGTGTTTGAATTTCTATAAAAATATTTTTTTTAATATATTTTTTTATAAATTGAGACAAACTCCTGTATATATTTATTTTATATTTTATAAAATTATTTTTAAAATTATAATTTAGTTTTATCTAAACATTTTTTTTTTTGACCAAGATCTAAACATCTTCTTAATTAATACTCACAAAATAAAGAAACCTTTTCAGCAGATCACTTTTTTCATTTCACTCACCAAACAAAGCAAGGAAGAGCTCCACTATGTATTTGAGCATCAAGCGTATTGGAAATCCATTGCACTACATTTTATTAAAACAGTGATCTTGCAATTAGATTAGATTAGTTTCTAGCTTTTATTTAAGCTGAGAAACACAAAATTACATGGACTGTGTTAGTCATAATTAATTATATTTTTCGTAAGGTTACTTTGTTTTGGGCAAATATTACTGTAACTCTGGACAAAAAGATGCTCTAGGGTTTTAACTTTACACTGAGGTCTTAACACTATGTACAAGCAAATGGATTAAATAGCCTTCCGATACTGCCATTTATTCATAGATTTATACTGATCGTGTGTGTGGCTATATATATATATATATATATATATATATATTGTATGCATAAACACATGATTAAATTTCAAGATTTCTTGTGATATTTTAAAAAAAAATGAAGTTGTGATGCGAGATAACTATTTTTCCTTTTATATGAACTGATGCCAACTTTGCGAGATAAAAAAAGGTGACAAATCCTTGTACTTTCTCAATTCCAAGTCATTCAACCTATTTCGTCAAAATGAAAAAAATGACAGTTAATATGTTAAATCATCTCAATTTTTTTTTCCAACTTTACTCATATTAAATGAGTTGTAAAGAAAAAAAATTACGCTGAAGCATTAATTATAAGAATAAAATTGACAAATAAGTTACTCATATTTTGGAACAAATAATTCTTGTGGAAGCAACTAATACTATAGATGGTAGGATAAAGTTCTTTTCATATAATTCTAAAATTACTTCAAATAAATAGAAAAAAATCTCAAAAGAATGCCATTTGAATTTAGAAAAATGACAAATAATGACCCTCTAATATATAAAATAGTGATATGGAACCTTCAATTTGAAAAATAACAAATAAAAACTAGGTCCCGTATTACAAGTATAAAATCTTGATGAAATTCCTGAAATGCCCCTCAGCCAAGTTGTGATTTGATCTACTATAGTTGTCATTCGCTAAAATGAACTTATCATTTCCCATATTCAACTTGTCATTTGACATACCTTTAACCAAGTTGTAATTTGGTCTATTGAAGTTGTCATTCGCTAAAGTGAATTTGTCATTTCTCATAGTCAACTTATCATTTGGCCGATGGGCATTTCAGATATTTCACTAAGATTTCATATTTGCAATATGGGACTGGGTTTGTATTTACTATTTTTCAATTTGAGGGTTTCAAGTCGCAATTTCACATATTGAGGGTCTTTATTTGCTATTTTTCCTTTGAATTTCATTTTTTCCTCTCATCAAATATTACTTAAATTTCAAAATTTCAAATTAGCTAGTCTTGTTTCTTATACTTTAATACTCCTTCGGTTTTTAATATAAGACTTATTTAATTAATTTGATTAGATTAAGAAAGTTAGGTAAGTTAGTTAATTATAAAAAATATGACATGTTTTTCGTAAAACACTATAATCATCTTTTTAATACTATATCTCTCTCTCTTCTACTCAGTTATGATTGAGGGAATATCTATAGGAGTAATTTAGAAAAAATTGATAAATATGATAAATAGGTCTTATATTTAGAATCAAAATTAACTTAATAATTAAGTCTTATATTAAAAATAGAGAAATAGTTATTGACTACATTCAAAAAAACAAATCACAATACATTTTAATATGAATTCCTAACTTGAGATTTTAAAATTCATGTTTGGGTATTTCCTCAATAAACTAACCTAAGCATAGTTTAAAATATCATTATTCCGTGCAAATAATAATACACGCACGCTGATGATATGCTAGCTGGCCATCACCCGCACTTGGCCACATTCAATAAGAGCTAATTAATAAGCAACCATTGCAATCTTTCTTACCCACTGATTCCAAATTCCAAAATACATAAATGATATTAATATCCCCATAACCTACCCCTACCCCGCACCCCCAGCCGATTTCATCTTTTCTGAAAACAAAAGGCGGAACTCGCTGCACCAAGATTTATTATAGTAATAATTCTAATTTTTAATATTAGATTTTATTTGATTTTTATTTTAATCTTAAATATAATATTTTAATTTATTTTGTCTCTTATGTATATATTTTTTAAGATAGTCTTTCTAATAATAGTAATTTTAGTTAATAAATTTAATTAGTAAAAATATTTTAGAAAAGACAATACTTATTTATTATAAATAACTAATTTAATTTATTATTTTAATATATTTAGATTAGTTAACTAATTTTTATATTAAAAACCGGAGATATTAGTACACAATATGATAAATTTATAATATGATAATATCACGCACGCATGCACGCGACTTTGAAAGTGTGACGTCGTCTATATATAGATATATTTATAAACATCTTTATATGAGGGCAAGGAAGTTTCCTTTTCGTCTCGTCTCAGAGGCCCGCATGGCATTGGCGGTAGAAGCTCTTCTGCTTCACCAATCTTTCCTATCTACCACCTCTTACCTCCCGTTTTAATTATAAGAATATGTTTATAAAATATAAATGAGATTTTATAATTAAAATAGGAAGTAATATTTCTTAACTCTCTAATTATGATAATATACTTTTCTTGGTCTCTATTTATTTAATCTCACGGCATTAAAATAATAAAGATTTAAATCAATGCAATTAAATTTAAAAAGGAAAAAAGGGGAGGTTAAGGGGAGCGGGAGTGGGTAAAGTTGAGGTCTAGGCTGGCGGTGGCTGGCACACGACCCAGCCAATTGATAACTACTGGGGCCAATTTTGAACTTCACCTTCATCTTCATGTATATATTTATCATCCTGCGTCACGTCAATGATTTGCAGGTACTACTGCTTTAATACCTGCACAGATACTGCATTACTGTCATCCAGCTGGCTCATTGCAATTTCCTTGGCCTTTCCTGCGTTTCTGCCACTTGCTTCTTTCAACCTCGTAACCTGTTGGCTATAAATGGCTGTTTACCATCCTCATCTTCATCATCAATACCATATTCCCTCTCATCTTTTACACTTTCCTAGCAATTAGCAAATATCGCTGCTGTCCATATTTCAATATGGCTTCTTCTGCAACTGTCTCAGTAATGCTTCTGGTTCCTCTTGTTGTGAGCTCTCTCATGGTTGTTGCCTTTGCTGGTAATTTGAACAATGAGTTTGACATAACATGGGGGGATGGTCGAGGCAAGATGCTCAACAATGCTGAACTTCTCACTCTCTCACTCGACAAAGCGTCGGGCTCGGGTTTCCAATCAAAGAATGAGTATCTCTTTGGTAAGATCGACATGCAGCTCAAGCTCGTCCCTGGAAACTCGGCTGGCACTGTCACTGCCTATTATGTAAGCTTCTTTTTTCTTTATCGAATAGCAGAATATATAATTTCTCAAGAGATCAACGGGGTTATGAATAATCTGTGTCTTTGCTGGTACTTGCAGTTATCATCAAAGGGATCAAACTGGGATGAGATAGACTACGAATTTCTGGGAAACCTGAGCGGTGACCCTTACATTCTTCACACCAACGTGTTCAGCCAGGGAAAAGGCAACAGAGAGCAACAGTTCTATCTCTGGTTTGACCCAACCGCAGATTTCCACACTTACTCTATCCTCTGGAACCCCCAAAGGATCATGTAAGTTGTTATTCTCCACTCAACTGTTTCCCTGTATTTCTCTTCTGTCCTCTTTCGTGTGCATAGACTGATATATGATTCTGTTTAAATCTGATTCAGATTCTCAGTGGATGGAACTCCCATCAGAGAGTTCAAGAACTCAGAGTCCATTGGTGTGCCATTTCCCAAGAACCAGCCAATGAGGATATACTCAAGCCTGTGGAATGCAGATGACTGGGCAACAAGAGGCGGCCTCGTGAAGACGGACTGGTCTCAGGCTCCCTTCACTGCTTCCTACAGAAACTTCAAAGCCGAAGCTTGCGTCTGGTCTTCTGGCAAATCATCTTGTCCTTCATCATCTTCTTCCACCCCCACGTCCTCGTGGCTCTCACAAGAGCTTGACAATACTTCACAAGAGAGGCTCCGGTGGGTTCAGAAAAACTACATGATCTACAATTACTGCGCAGATGTTAAGAGGTTTCCTCAGGGCCTCCCACCAGAATGCAAAGCCTCTTAAGTTTTTGCCTAAATTCTTCCGTTGTTTTCCGTATTTGTCATGTGAAATATAGGGTCATTCTTTATGATGTAATATTAATATGTATGCATATTTTATAACGGAATATATATGTAGATTGCTTTCTCTCTTTCACATTGTTTCTATATGCTTTCGGTGTATATTTCACTGCGGTTTGGTGTGTATGCTAAAAGAAAGGTCGGAAAGGTAATACCTAAGGAATCCATGACGATGGGTCTACACGTATGGTTCCCTGTACATATGGCGCACACGGCAGTCAGATAATAAACTACAAGTTTTCATAGAGGCAGTCGTCTTCAATTGCATATTTAATGTTCAATAGTCAACTGAAACGCTAGTCCATGAGAAATAGGTATATTATATGATCTTCAGAGA